AAAAAAAATTGTCTCGGGAAACTTGAAATTGCAATGATGATTTTTTTTAAAACCAAACAAAAGATCCTTTTTCAAAATAGAGTATTCAAATTACTTTTTTTAAAAATTATTAAAAAATGAAACCAAAAATAGTGAATAATTTTAAGAAAAACTTAGGCTCCGTTGGGTAAGGCTCTCAAAATATAGTTTCACATTAATTTGAGTTGGTTGTTTGTTTGGAGTTTTTCAAAATATAATTCTACACTCATTTCTCAAAATTAATTCAAAACATAATCATTACTTTTCAAATTCATAACCAAACACATAATTCAAAACTCTTTTCAAAACTCAATTCAAATAATATTTTAATTTTAAAATTTTTAAATATTTAAATATTTTAATTTTGTTAAGATTTTAAATATTTTAATATTTAAATATGTTACGATTTTTTTTAATTTTTTAATTTTTTGAATATTTTAATTTAAAAATATTAGGATTTTAATTTTTTAAATTTTAAAATATTTATAAAAAATAAATTCAAACTCTATTTTATAAAAATATTTTTAAATATTTAATTTTTTTTGTTATGTATTGGTTACGATTTGAGTGTAGAGTTGTGAAAAGTTAATTAGTTTCGAGTTATGTGTTTGGTTATGAGTTTTAAAATAATTTCTTAATTGAGTTTTGTTTTATGTGTTTGGTTACAATTTGAGTGTAAAGTTGTTTTTAAATTTAAAATATTAACATTTTAATATTATTTAAATTTTTTGAATATTTAAATTATTTAAATTTTTACGATTTAAATTTTTTGATATTATTTTAATTTTTTACTTATTAAATAGATTTTAAATTATTTAATATTTATGAATTAAAATTTTTGAATATTATTTTGAAAAAAAATTATTCCTTTGTAGATTTTCAATTAAAAAATTGATTAATGTTATTTTTTGTTAATAATAATTTTTTTAATTGAATTTTAAAAAGAGTTTTTATGAGTGTTATATTTAATATGTAAAGTAGTTTTTTTGTTATGAGTTATAATAATTTGAATTAAGTTTTGAAAACTCTTTCCAAAACTTATAACCAAATAAATTTTCTTACTTCACAATGTCAAATTAAACTTTCAAAACTCAATTTCACACTCATTCAACACTCTATTCAAAAACATAACCAAACAAATTTTCTACATTCAAATCATAATTTCACAACTCCCAAACTCAAAATACAACTCATACTCTCAAATCATATTTACAAATTCTACCAAACGCAACTTAAATAATTTAAAACTTGGTTGCTATAACCCAAACAATAATACTACAAAAATTTGTCATCGCTTGTCACCAAGTTTTATTCAAGTAAGTTTCTGAGAGGGTAATTTATATATAAATTAGGCGAGCTGGGTAATGCCGCTTCATTGGGCCACGGTAAGAAGGCTGGATAAACAGGGGTTGGAGTTAGCCCGGTCCTGAGAACGCCTTATTGTTATCCCGGTCCAGAGAAGCCTTGCAGTTAGCCCGGTCCGAAGAAGCTTGGTGGTTAGCTCGGTCACACAGTCGGCGCGGTAACATTTAGCCGGTCATACCATATTGAGCCAAAGTATGTTAAGCCTTCCTCAAACCATGCTATGGGTTAATTCGGTCCTAGCTCAGTATGGTTAGCATGATCTCAACAGCCTGGTTGGAGTATATCGAACCGAGGTACACGCTGCGAAAGGAAGAACCGAGCTAGGTGGAGCTCGGTCAGTCTGCGGCTTTAGCATGGCCACGTTATCTAGGTAAAAACATTTCACTTGGTTTAAGCAGTGAGAGGGGTGTTGAAGGATAAGTATTATCTTTAGGAATGTGATTCCTGGAGGACTCTACATGGAGGAGTAAGAGTCCTACGAGATTGTGCCACGCAGAACCTATAAAAGCTCTACATCACCTATGGAGAGGTAACACAACTTTGATTCTCGAATACACAAAGCTTGTTTATTTGTCTATTTTTGTGACTTAGGCATCGGAGAGGTATCCGGCACAACACCGCCGCTAGCTCACGTTTGTGTTTTCAGGGAGTAAAGCGACGACGTACGAAGAGCGCAGACTTGATCAACAGGATTATACGAGAAGGTTTATTTCTTCCGTGCAGTTTCTAATCGTGAACTTCTTCTGATCACCTCTTTTGATGAATGTAATTTTTTTATTTATTGGGCATTGAGGTAATAAATATAATTTTGAAACTTTTGGTGCAATAGTTTCTAAATTCTAATCTTTTAAAGTCATAAGAACGATAACAATTTAAAAACTATAATACCCCTACCTGTGTGGGTGAAAAATCTGACCACACTGCCCGTTTAGTGATCAGCTGGAGAGCACAAGCAGAATAGATGGCTAAGGTAACCTGAAACAGAAAGCAAAAGCTCCGGCGGTGGTTCTTCCACCCGGGGGCATCCGACGATCAAAGTCAGTATATCTCTCAAAGATAATCAAGTACTAAATTGAATACTCAAAGTATAAGTTACATACCTTAGACCCATGGGGTGCCTCTCTTTTATAATATACTCAATCCAAGTCCACTAGA